AAGTAGAGTGTTTTTCATGTTCTTCCTCAATTTGATTCACAATTTTTTTCTCAATTTGATTTTGAGATAAAACTGTTGTGTTTAAGGATGTAAACTGTGAGGAAAAAAATCTCGCATCTTAGATTGTTGGTGGCGTGGAATCTGAATGCTTGGTTTTTTCTAAGAAACAAACAAAAGTGCACTTCCTTCGTACAAAACAAACAAATTTCCAAGGAATAGGGGTTCAAGGGTCAGAGATATTCAGATGTTTAAGTCAATAAAGGCTCTAAGAATAAGAAAGATTTGCTTACCTTAGACTTAAGTTTTACCCAATATTTATAGTTTTCTATACCCTTCGTCTAGGGTTTCACAATTGTCTATATAAGGTGGCACACCTATTTTTTAGCCAAAGTTTCCTTAATTCATGTAAGAATCTTTTCAGACTTCCTTTCTTATTGAACGACTATTTAGGTCACATTTATAATTTTCACCTATGACTTAGGCAACTTCCTAATTGGTTTTTCATCATTGCCTCTAATTACTCAAGAGAACCTAACTATCTCTTGGTTCGATATTAACCCAGTGAAGGTTATATTTCAAATAAACATCAACTCTTTTCTCTTGCTCGGTTTCGTCGACTGCTTGGTTCTCTTACCACAGAGCTTTGTCATTTGCTCAGGTAGGTCTTGAACCTATTCAGTTGGCTGAACCATAACTCGAACATAGGTACTATATTTTGTCTAACCACACTCTTCGTGACGTGCTATTTGACACATGTTTTCCCATCACGTGATTCATGACGCGTATCTTCGTTAAATGGTCTAATCATGTGCAATCGTTCCGAGTCCTTTAGAGACTTATCTCTAAGTCTAGTTGTTCGTAACTCCAATGTAGAGTGGCATGTTTGTAGCTTGACTATACACTCTAGAGGTGCAGCAAGGTAATAATCTTTGAGGTTCAATTGGATTTTTCTTGCGAGACTCATCGACCTTAAATGATATTTGCCTTTCTTTCTCCAAACTACTTGGTCCTTAGGATAAACAATATTGTTTGGCTGCTTAAGATTAGACTTTATCTCAAGCTTTTCCTTGTTTTGCATGATCATCCTACTTGATTTCTTGCTCTGAACTAGAAGCCATGGAGCAAAGTTTCTCTTATTGTTGTTCTGAAGTCCTTGTGTTTGCCCTAGTTGATTTTGTCACTTGTTGAGAATTTGTGAAAGCATCTATGGTTGTACCAATGAAAATATGTGAGACCAATAGTTTTGAGGTATCAATTTGAACTCACATGCTTGCAAATCTCCCACGGGATATGTCTTATGTTCAGTCATCAATCACTAAAAATAATTTCTCTTTCAAAAAGAGATATGTTTGAATACCATCGGAGCTAGCTGCCATATGATAACATAGTCTTGATCATCATAGGGAACTATTGAAACCTTTTCATTGACTCATATCAAAGGTTATCTGGTTGACAAGTTCCCAATCAGTTGAACCAAAATCCCAATAATAAGATTCCAAGAATATGGTTAATATTAGAAGTCCATGAAATACATTCAATTCGGCGAGTTCTCATTTGAATATATTTCTAATTGTCTTCTTATGATCCTTGCATTTATGAAAATTTTCCATGGTAAAACTTGTTCAGTTTTTTCAAAAAGGCAAATTTTCTTGATTTTTTCAAAACATGAATCCTGATATCTATATGATACTAGATCTACAATTTGTAAAAACAAATATTATTTTTTCACAAGAGAATTCCTCATTCAAGTCCATTTGTTTAATAAAACTAAAGCAAAGAGTTTGAAAATCATCAAGTTGATCCTTGGATTAAAAACGATCGCAATTTTTTCAATTGTTCCACAGTAAAGAAGATTTTCTCACCAATTACATGTCCCAACCTAACTAAATTCCTTTCTTCTTCAGATATTTCTGATGTATGTTCTCATGTAGCATAAAGATTTGATTTAAGNTTAAAAACGATCGCAATTTTTTCAATTGTTCCACAGTAAAGAAGATTTTCTCACCAATTACATGTCCCAACCTAACTGAATTCCTTTCTTCTTCAGATATTTCTGATATATGTTCTCATGTAGCATAAAGATTTGATTTAAATCTTTATCACTACTTTCTTCACTTTCTATTTCATACAAAATATCTTCTCCGTAGAGAACTTTCAATTCTTGTTATTCAAGCATTTTAATCATCTTTTTAGCGCTTCATATTTTTTTGGGGGGGCAATTAGGTGCTATATGACCTTCCTCATTGCAAATATAACATTTACAACCCCTTTTTCATAAAGTTGGGATTTTTTTCCAANAATATCTTCTCCGTAGAGAACTTTCAATTCTTGTTATTCAAGCATTTTAATCATCTTTTTAGCACTTCATATTTTTTTTGGGGGGGGCAATTAGGTGCTATATGACCTTCCTCATTGCAAATGTAACATTTACAACCCCTTTTTCATAAAATTAGGATTTTTTTCCAGTTTTCTTTTTTTGAACATATTTCTTGTGTTTAGAAAAAAAATTCTTTTCTTCCACAACTTCCACTTAAATTTCTTTTTCCTTTGTGATTTCCTTTGTCTAAGTGGATTATAACCGATCTTTCAAAATTCTTGTAAGATTTTATCACATCAACGTCGGACATAAGCAGTGTTGCTTATTTGGTTTTTTACCTGTTTTTTGTCTTTGGCCGAGATACAGTGATCAGCAACAAGTCAAAGAACAAATTTGGTCCTGAATCCCAAACTATCTAATTTTCCTATAGAACCTAGGAATTTTGGATACTTTTTTAGATGCAATTCATCACATGGATTAGGGAGTTTATGAAAAAATTTATTTAACCAAAAATTATTATCTATTAAGTTTAGCTGATAATAATACTTTTGAAATAGCTTCGCATATTCTTCAAAATCACATATATTAGTTTTGACACTATATATTGTGCATCTTCTAGCACACTGTATCTTCTAATTGGCATCAATATCAATTGAAACACCAAGGCTATATGGCTTATAACCTGCATAATTAAATTCTCCTAATACATTAAATATATCTTTTATTTCCATTACTTGGTGAAAAAATTTCTTTGCAACCCATATGAAGATGATAAAGTCTTGCTGAATTTATCTCTTCCTTTGTTTCTTTATCTTTTAAGTACAAAGTTCCTGGGAGTACATGAATTTGTAAGGATTTGTAAGCAATAGGGTCAGAGTTTGATGTTTCTTCAAACTCTTATTTATAACATTCATTAAAAGCAAGTTATGACAATTTTTGCCAATCATCCTTATGAAGTATGAACCCAATTTGGACATGTTCTAGTCAATTTTGTACTTTGAGATCATTTATCTCAAAAAATATATATTTTTTCCCGCAACTTGTATTTCAATAGGATCTATTATCCTTATTGATGGCTATTCAATTAAATTATTTATCATCAATTGTCTTGGAATTTCTAGATCTTTCCAATTAATTAACCGAGGTTTTATTATTGTGTCAAGGCTCTTTGTTCAAAAATTTCTACAATTTCTTTGTTTAGATTTTGTCAAAGTTTGCGACAATTTTGTTAATTCATGGAGGGTTTTCCAATGAACTACCATGTCATAAGCATTCTAATTTTTATTGAATCTTCGATATTCAAATCATCAATTGAAATAAAATAGTTGGGTTTAATGTTAAACCAACCACTCATGAGACTAAGTTCGATTGAATTCCATCTATTATTGCTTTTAGTTGATTACTAAAGCAATTGTCTAACACTACAACCAAAATAGGGTTGTCAATTCCTTATCTAAATAGACAAGGTATCGTTATTTTTATCATTCGTATATAAATGTATCCTATATCTGAAAAAAAAAAATTCATGTAATGACCCTTTTATCAGNCTAAATAGACAAGGTATCGTTATTTTTATCATTCGTATATAAATGTATCCTATATCTAAAAATTTTTTTTCATGTAATGACCTTTTTATCAAAAAGTGTTAATTCTGCAGTGTCTTCTATAGAACGCTTAGCAACTATGTTTCCATTAAATTGTTCAAATACTTTGGCTGAGAATGGGTTGAACCTAAAAAATTTATATATTTCATCCTTCCAGATTTTTTGCAATTTTTCCAATTATTCCTCAAAAAAGATCATTTCCTCACCAATTACATCTCCTCACCTGACTGAATTTCATTCTTCTTCAAGTATTTCTAATGCATGTTCCGCATGTAGCATAAAGATTTTTTCTAAATCTTCGTCAATATTTTCTTCATTTTCTATTTCATACAAAATGTCTTCTATTTTTTTTCCTTCTACATTAGATTTCTCATCTCCATAGAGAACTTCCAATTATTGTACTTCAAGCATTTTAATCATCTTTTTAGCACTCTGTCCTTTTTTGGGGCAATTAGGTCATATATGACTTTCCTCATTGCAAATATAACATTTACAATCCTTTTTCTTAAATTTTGGATTTTTTCAGCTATCTTATCCCTAACATATTTCTTGTGTTTAAAAAAGTTATTTCTTTTCTTCCACGGCTTCCACTTAAATTTTTTTTTTCTTTTGTGATTTCCTTTATCTAGGTGATTACATCCAATCTTCCAATTTTCTTGTAAGATTTTATCACAGCAATTTTGGCCAAAAGTTCAAATATCCTGATGGTGGAACCGTCAAAAGTTCTACCAAAACGGTTTGACTTGTGATTATAGGACGCTCAAACTGATTGCCAACTACAACATTGAACCTAAGAACAATGTCCCCACTTTTCCTGTTCAGAGGAGGACTTATATATTACATGCAATAGGGACAGGAATTGATCTAAATTTGAGGAATTGATCTAAATTTGACATGAAGAATATTTGGAGTCATTCGTAGAACATTTGATGAGGGTAGAGTGACAGATGATCTGCCTTTTGGGTCTCTAATCACACATATATGCATGCCAAAAGGGGCTAATGAGTTGAGTATTGATCAGAAGAACCCAACCACTAAGTAAGGGGTCTATTCCACAAAGTGAGTCCCATGCAGCATACATGATTGATCTAGTGGATGTTGAGGATAAGGGAGATGAGATGAAGACCGAGGTGCCTATTCCTCCTCTCGCAACAAGACCATTTAGTTCCAAAGTACCACCACTAGGACACACATGTGCGAGCACTACCATTGGGACGCATCAGGTGCATGCTGAAGTGAAAGAGAATTGGGCTGGGTTTAGATGACAGTGATGAATTGGAGAGACAGCCCAGGATAAGGATGATGGTGGAGATGATACGGTCACTGCTGCTACTTGATGCTTGGAGACTTAAACTTGGGACATCATAGGAGTATCAGATTTTCTATTTATTCCTTGTCATTTGTCTATCTACTCTTATTTTGTTTTGTTTTGACACACATTTAGTCTTTCTGTTTTCATTGTTGGATATTTGTGTTTGACTATATTGTTATATGCTAGTTTTTGTACCTTTTTTTTAATTCTCGCGTTTATCCTTGTTTTGCTAAATAATTCAGTATTTTTTTTAGGAAACGATACGCTTGTATTATTTAAAAAGATAAAGTACATCAACGGAGATTGGATAAGAAATCCAACCAATATAGAAAAACAACAAAAATTCAAAAAAAACTGAAGGAAAAATCCTATAAGTCACATGAAGCTCGTCATCCCGCTTGAATAACAAAAAACAGAATTCCTTTGAAACTAACGCCCAAAAATATGCTAAGAAATGAATTCGATCCCCTAGTTCATCCACACACTCATTCTGATCTTTGAAAATACTAGATGCTTCATTATGCATATCTCCTTTATTCATATTCTATACCATGCTTGTTATGAAAGTGAGTTTAGCAATTTGTGACAAAAAGGGACAGAATTTTGGATAAATCTTGGGAGAAATTAGATGACTAGCTATGGATTAGTTGAATGAAGAATATAGAAAATGGGAGTTTGTTGTAATTACTCAGGGGGTAGATTTACAAACTTGGCATGAAGTCATTTGTTATTTTTCACTTGCTATTTGCATTTGTGAATCACCAACTAAGGGGGAGAACTAGTGTTGAACTATTATTGTTGAACTTAAAAGTTCTCAACCGAGTGCGTAAGGATTGCTTTAGATTGCACTTGCATGTTGCTTAAATGCAAGTACCTTATTGCTTCTCTTGGTGGTTAAATACCTGTGATTATGTTATGCCATTGTTACATATGATATTTTTCAAGAGGTATTGGGTTGAGCTGTTGTGTACTGAACTATAATTCTTCAAAGCTACATCAAGAGGATAGTTTTGTACTTGGATGTGAGATTGAGTGTTGATATTAGTTTACAATATTGTTTGTTTCATTGTGATTTCCAAGTTGTAATCTTTGAATTTCGTACTCTTGTATTTTATCACAGAATTGTCAAAGGTGGAGATTGTTAGAACATTGCTACATTTGATGAGGGTAGAGTGACAGATGATCTGCCTTTTGGGTCTCTAATCACACATATATGCATGCCAAAAGGGGCTAATGAGTTGAGTATTGATCAGAAGAACCCAACCACTAAGTAAGGGGTCTATTCCACAAAGTGAGTCCCATGCAGCATACATGATTGATCTAGTGGATGTTGAGGATAAGGGAGATGAGATGAAGACCGAGGTGCCTATTCCTCCTCTCGCAACAAGACCATTTAGTTCCAAAGTACCACCACTAGGACACACATGTGCGAGCACTACCATTGGGACGCATCAGGTGCATGCTGAAGTGAAAGAGAATTGCGCTGGGTTTAGATGACAGTGATGAATTGGAGAGACAGCCCAGGATAAGGATGATGGTGGAGATGATACGGTCACTGCTGCTACTTGATGCTTGGAGACTTAAACTTGGGACATCATAGGAGTATCAGATTTTCTATTTATTCCTTGTCATTTGTCTATCTACTCTTATTTTGTTTTGTTTTGACACACATTTAGTCTTTCTGTTTTCATTGTTGGATATTTGTGTTTGACTATATTGTTATATGCTAGTTTTTGTACCTTTTTTTTAATTCTCGTGTTTATCCTTGTTTTGCTAAATAATTCAGTATTTTTTTTAGGAAACGATACACTTGTATTATTTAAAAAGATAAAGTACATCAACGGAGATTGGATAAGAAATCCAACCAATATAGAAAAACAACAAAAATTCAAAAAAAACTGAAGGAAAAATCCTATAAGTCACATGAAGCTCGCCATCCCACTTGAATAACAAAAAACAGAATTCCTTTGAAACTAACGCCCAATAATATGCTAAGAAATGAATACGATCCCCTAGTCCATCCACACACTCATTCTGATCTTTGAAAATACTAGATGCTTCATTATGCATATCTCCTTTATTCATATTCTATAACATGCTTGTTATGAAATTGAGTTTAGCAATTTGTGACAAAAAGGGACAGAATTTTGGATAAATCTTGGGAGAAATTAGATGACTAGCTATGGATTAGTTGAATGAAGAATATAGAAAATGGGAGTTTGTTGTAATTACTCAGGGGGTAGATTTACAAACTTGGCATGAAGTCATTTGTTATTTTTCACTTGCTATTTGCATTTGTGAATCACCAACTAAGGGGGAGAACTAGTGTTGAACTATTATTGTTGAACTTAAAAGTTCTCAACCGAGTGCGTAAGGATTGCTTTAGATTGCACTTGCATGTTGCTTAAATGCAAGTACCTTATTGCTTCTCTTGGTGGTTAAATACCTGTGATTATGTTATGCCATTGTTACATATGATATTTTTCAAGAGGTATTGGGTTGAGCTGTTGTGTACTGAACTATAATTCTTCAAAGCTACATCAAGAGGATAGTTTTGTACTTGGATGTGAGATTGAGTGTTGATATTAGTTTACAATATTGTTTGTTTCATTGTGATTTCCAAGTTGTAATCTTTGAATTTCGTACTCTTGTATTTTATCACAGAATTGTCAAAGGTGGAGATTGTTAGAACATTGCTAATTATAATTAGCTAATTTCATGAAGTCACAATGTAAATCTCCACTAAATCCATGATCATGATGCTTCAAAGTACAAGATCCAAAAGCTTCAAGAAAGAAGGAGTTCAAGTTACAGGCCACATCATGAATACCTCCCAAGATCCTTTGCAAAGGTAATGACCTTAGAGACCAAGGCAGTTTAATAAAATGGATTTAGGATAAATTTGTACATAACTAATAGGCTTTTTCATTGAAAACATTTTTGAAACATTGAAACTTGTTTTGAAGACATCGATTTAGTCATGGATTGGACCCTTGTTGAGGAACACATTTTAGGGCTCAATACAGCAAGTTTTTGCTTGGCTTTCGGATTAAAAACCAATAGAGACCATTCTTTGCTTGCCAACCTTCAGCTAGAGTAATCTATGAACACTTAAGGGAAAAATCAAAGACGCAGAAAAAGTTGGCAATGGAGATGGCTCGCTTGGCCACATGTTGGCCACTCAAGCAGGTGCAAACTACTCGAGCAAGTCCCAACTCAACTGACCTAGTTTGATTCATTTTTTCATTCCAATATTGATCGCCCTTTAACAACTCAAGCAGTTCCTTGCAAATTTCAGTTTTCTTGGGGACCAAGACTACTCTAACTCTAGGGCTATATATATATATATATATATATATATATATATATATATATATATATATATATGGGCATGTCTTCTCAGACTAGGTTGGCATTCATAAGCCTAAAATATGCCTCTTACATAATATAGAGAGCCAAGAAAAACCCTAGGGGCTCGTTTGGTTGACGTGTTGCTACAAAAAATGATTGGATTAGTAATACTATAGAGATGGATAAAATAAAAGATTAAGTAGAGGATAATAATACCTTTTATTCCATTCTGCATTTGGTATGGCATCGGATTACAATCTAGATAACATATCATGTCTAATATTATGTTGTCTAATATTGTTTCTATTTGGTCCACGAGTCCCATGGTATTAATGTCACATTGGCCAAAGATGTTATTGATCAGAACAATAAAATGACATTATAATTCTTTTTGACCGGATTACAATACCACGTCCCAAGTTGTATTAAAATAGGCGTAATAGTACGAGTAGAGGGTATTAAAAATACAAGATTGGTATACGTATTTGATTTAGTACCATACACAATACCGATTGGCTTTTTGAGATTCACATATTGTATAAGACCATATTAAAGTATTTTAATCCTATACAACTCTCTAATACTTTCAATAATACGGCAACCAACTGAGCCTTAGATGCCTAAGTATCCAAAAGGTCATTCGACTTTGATTGATCTTATACTTCAAGTCCAAATCAAGAACGAAGAGAGAACTTATAGAGAACCACCAAAACGCACATCGGTGTGTATTGCTACTAAGAATCTTGGGAATGAATCCTGGAAGAAGAGGTCGATTCGCCCCAGTTAAGCTATAGCTAAAGATCTTGCAGTGGGGCAATCTAGAGGGTAAGATTCAAGGGAGAAAGCATCTAACCATGAGTGTATTAGTTGAGGTATAAGTATTTGACATTGTAATCGATTTTTAGTAGAGTGGATTCAATTTAGGTGGCTAGGGATCAGTCCCGTAGTTTTTCATGCAAGGGTTTCCACATTAAAATTGCTTTGTGCTATGGTTGTTGATTATTGCTTTAATTTTGCATATACACACTTTCTATTGCACACACACACACCATTTGTTTGATGAATTGATTGAATGATTGTCATATCTTATATCATCATCATTGTGGTTTGATAATCAGTGGTTGGGCTATTGGAGGGATAAGGATGGAGGATTTGCATTGTTGAGTTGTTGATTAGTATTGATCATCTTGAATCCACTCATTCAATTAAGGGTTTATTCTTCAAAAAAAGGGGTCCACTAAGCGTTATTGACAAATAAATTGGTTAATTGATATATGTGGTAAAAAGGTCTAAAATTGGTGTAGGCTTCCATGGAAAATGTCAAAGACCTATTCACCCTCACTCTAGGTCGTGCTAGTGTAATGATGTAATCTCACATATATAATCATGTCGAGGACGATCGCATTAGACGTCCTCAAATAACATCTTTACAAAAGCATATAGCTAAAATGCATCGAGCGATCAATAGCTAGTATCATGATCAAAAAATATATGAAATAAAAAACCTGTAGCTGCACTGTTTGTATGCTTCCTTGATATCAAATTTGGCACTATCCGACCAAGTCCAGTAGAAAGTACCTACATACGTGCACAACAAATTTGAGCTTTAGTTCCGTAAAAAAAAACTAGAATTGTTTCTTGGTTGCAAATCAATAATAAGCAGAGCCACCAAGGTAATCTCCTTTCACAATAGAGCATCAGACGAACATTAAGGTCGCAGTATCACTGGCAGGGAAGGCAGAAGTAAGAAATGCTCAGCACTTTAAAAACAGAAAAGAAAGAGGGCATCTTACCGTCATTACAAACAAAGCGCTTAGTGCACCAGATAAAACAATTGACTTAGGGTGACGCATCGCCATAAGAGCTGCTATTATAAAAGTTTCATCTCCAATCTAGCAGCATGGTAATCCATTTAGAAAAATCATTAAATCAAAGTACAACAGTAAATTGTGAAGGACACTAATAAAGACAAACAATTCATTGCCAGCTGTAATGTTTGGGTAAGTTAACAAATGTACTTAAAATGTTCATAAGAAGCAGCTAATTTTAAGAATTTGTGACCATTCAACGATCACATGACAGATGAAATATAATGCGGTAAATCTTTGGTGTGAATGACAAACAAACGGACTGCAATACCATCAGAGAAGTAAGTCCACAAACCTCACTGACGATAATCATCGACAAACTTGCAACGAATGCATCAAACGTTCCAAGACCAGAACCCAAGTTGAGAGAAACACCAACAGATTCGGGATCATTCTCTTCACTTATAGCATTAGCCTTGAGTTTGTCAACAAAAATCTATAAACAGAAACTTACATGTTATCACCAATCGTAAGCTTTGTTAATTTTCTAAATAAATAAGACACGCAAGCTAAGAATACTGGGAATTAAATGAATGTCAACCAAAGGAAAAAAAAAAGCAATTTATTCATATTTTAGTTTGTAAATTTGCTGAATAAGTAAGACATACATGCTAAGAACACATGGCGTCAATGAATGCCAATAAAAGATAAAACAATAACTTTGTTAGGAAATTGTTGTCATTGGTTAATTACGAGAGATCATATGTAATTATATCTCAACTAAATTCATGGTCATGATGCTAAAAAGAAGAAGGCGACCGAGGCAAAAAGTGATAAGGAAGTTCAAGCTACAAAGCCACATGTTAAGATTTTTTGGAATCCTTAAAACTTAGGTAAAGGTAATGACCTAGATACCGAGTTACCCTAATTAGTTTTTACTTGGGTTAATTTAGGAGATTAAAATTGGATCTAGAAATTGATCTATGGCATAATTGTCGTAGCTTGACTGAAATATTTTTGAAACTTAGACAAGGATTTTCAAATACTATAAGAGTCATGGTATGAAACCTCACTGAGTAACACTCCTCAATACTCAAGGTTTAGTTTTCGGGGTTAATGAACAGTAGGCACCATTGTATGGTCCCAAGACACCACAAGCGGTCTCCAGGCTTGGTCAGTCTCCCTGGCTGATCCTTGGACAAGATCCTCTTTTACCCCAGTAACTACTGTCTGAAGCCCACTGTCTTACAGCTCGAGGGGTCTGTTGTGAATCTAAGTTTTCTTGAGGCCCAATTAAACTCTATTTTGGAACCTATATGTATGGGATGGTATTTCTTCACTAGGATAAGTCTCAAGAATCCTAAAAGACCATCTAAAGAGGAAAGAAACCTAGGAAACAAGCCCTAAACCTCTATAATACGAAGGCCAAGATCTATTTAGATTGAACCTTGACTTCTCAAAGACCATTCAAGAGAGAGGTTGAAGATCTAGTAGAGCATAGGGGTCAATTCGTATAATGTCGTGTCACCAGCATTTTCGTGTAGTGTTCGTGTTAAAACCCATGGAAAAAAATCTATTTAGTATGTTATAAGTGTCAAACATTAATCTAGACTATTTATTATGCGTATTTAATAGTCGTGTTAATTTTAGAATCGTGTCGAGTTCATGTTGACAGGACTCTTAGAGCCATAAACCTACAAAGGTGGAGAGATCTTAGGAGGATTCCAAGGATCAAAGGAAAATTCCAAATAAGAGAAGTGGAGGATTCCAAGAACAGATCGCGGATTTTAGTTCGTCGCTTAGAAGCTATTTGTTCAAGGGCTTGCAGTGAACTCCAGAGTGAAAATTCAAATTGATAAGGCGTCTAACCATGGTATTTGTTGAAGTATTAGACTTTAAATCTTGTAATCTTACTTTGAGACTGCTTTTCCCAAATGGGTTTACACTTACAAGTCCTCATGTTATGGTTGTGATTGTGTTTTCATATCTTTACATTCCTACAACTTTATGCTCTTCACATGCTTGATAAATTGCTCGAGTGTAATTCAACTTATGGGTGTTGGCTGAATTGATTGCGATGTTGGTTTGAATTGGTGGGTTGATTGAATTTAGGGGCTCTGTGTGTTAATTGGTATAATTAATTAATTGGAGTGAATTGATTTTAAAATTGGGCTTAAAAATTTGCACTCTCAATTTTATTACTATTCCCTTACTGTTGTTATTGGTAACGAAATGAAACAATAGCAATAAACTATTTCACGTCATTACGTATATAATTAAAACATTTTTAATCTTTTTAAGCTGTTAGCAATGCTCATAGCCAAAATCAATAGAACATGTTCCTTCAATCATTCTCTGGTGAAAAACTAGGCACGATAAAAATAAACAGCCAAAACAAACACTTGTATTATAGGTTTTGCCTGGTGGGAGTAGGTGTTTTGGGAAAATGTGATAGGTTTTGCAAGTGTTACTGAATTTTCCAAATGCTCTAGGTCTCCATCTCCCAGTATTATAATTCTCCTAAAAGCCTCAATACATAACATAGTTTATTATGATGACATTGGTTCATCTAGTTGTTTTATAGCTACATCACATGTTTCCTACAAAGCGTTGTGGAGCTACATTATGTGCTTCCATCAAGGTGTTGAGGCAACAGTGAAATCATAGGCATTCAAATCTCTTATTAGATTGACTGTCACGTGTACCTTCAATCCACAACCATAAAGTTGCTTTTGTTATGTTTGTCTGGTTAGCTCTGCTTTTAGTTTCTTGTTTTAACATTTTTGTACACTAGAACAATGGTAGCCAATGGTGGGACTTCTCTAACAAAAATTTCATGAATATTTGCACACATCTGGCTCTCATCCATGTAAAAAATTGGCAAGAAAAACTTGCATGGGAATTCAGCACGTGAAGGCATAAATTTTCTCAAAAAATCTGAGAACTCAGGTCAGGCTGTAACACAATCTGCGATATGGCCAAAAAGAATTTGTGAATAATTTGCAGGTCTCAGCAATAATCAGGAGTCATTATACAGGAATTTCAAACCATGACTAGGAACTAAGCAATTAAATAGAGGGGTCAAAATATACCTATGACAATTAGTTAGCAAATCGCAAGTGAAACAAATATTAGGGCCTACTAGATGATATTGTAAGTAGTAAGATGGAACAGGATAGCTAATTTTTTAGTTCAGCTGGTATTGGGATTTTGGCTTTCATAGCAATACACA